GTCATTGAACTACTTCCAAAAGTTGTATCGACATCAACAGGATTACCATTTCAGTGCAATACGATGCAGGATGATCTTATCACGACAACCCATGATAATACATGTAAACCATTAAAAACACAGAATCAACAAAACCATTTGCGACACGCACCTGGCTACATTTCTCAAATAAATCTGATCGAGGGTGAGGAAATCTGAAATATCTGAAAGACAAGACAATTTTATGACAGAGTCATAAAATTCTGCAACAGCAAGCTGCAACTTGCACAGAATGACCTCCGTATAAAAAAGTATTATTATTATTAATTATTATTGGTGGTGACAGTCAATTTTTTCTTCAGACTTTTCCCGCTTGTCTCTTTCCCTCAAACTAGTGAAGATTATTATTATTATTATTATTATTATTAAAAGTAGAAAGGAAAAGGACATAATTATGGAAACGAGTTAAGAGTAACTCTCCACCACTGTAACTAGATACTATATACAGTCAGAAAGTGCAACAACTAGGCACAAAACTGACAGAGTACTGAGACATTCGACGTCCTGACACCTAGCTTCAACACATCTCCGTAGCGCTAACCGACAGCCTTCCAACTTGGAAGGTTCAAGGTTAGTGAAAGACCAAAGAGGGGAAGGCAAGCGCAACGAAAACGAGCACAAGCTACAGTCTCAACGGAACAAAGAATGTCGATTGTCACTGGACGATGACGAGACCAGTAGGCGATTTGACAAAGCGGTCTAACTACAATTCGAAGCAGCAAAGCAGCACACCACCCAACTTGGGTGGGTCAAAAATATCAAAGATAAGTTAAGAAGGGGGAAGCTTTGCGAGAACGAATTGTACAAGCCGAAGTCTAAACTCCTACAGTACTCCTCATGCATGAAATTGTGATGGACTAGTTGACTACAAAACAAGTTGTTTCACACGACGTACGTTTCGCCGTATGGTTGGTGACGGCTCATCAGGTGTGCAATTTGAAACTCGGGTATTGAGCCAATAATAAAAGTAGAAAGGAAAAGGACATAATTATGGAAACGAGTTAAGAGTAACTCTCCACCACTGTAACTAGATACTATATACAGTCAGAAAGTGCAACAACTAGGCACAAAACTGACAGAGTACTGAGACATTCGACGTCCTGACACCTAGCTTCAACACATCTCCGTAGCGCTAACCGACAGCCTTCCAACTTGGAAGGTTCAAGGTTATGGAAAGACCAAAGAGGGGAAGAGGGGAAATTTTTGACCCACCCAAGTTGGGTGGTGTGCTGCTTTGCTGCTTCGAATTGTAGTTAGACCGCTTTGTCAAATCGCCTACTGGTCTCGTCATCGTCCAGTGACAATCGACATTCTTTGTTCCGTTGAGACTGTAGCTTTTGCTCGTTTTCGTTGCGCTTGCCTTCCCCTCTTTGGTCTTTCCATAACCTTGAACCTTCCAAGTTGGAAGGCTGTCGGTTAGCGCTACGGAGATGTGTTGAAGCTAGGTGTCAGGACGTCGAATGTCTCAGTACTCTGTCAGTTTTGTGCCTAGTTGTTGCACTTTCTGACTGTATATAGTATCTAGTTACAGTGGTGGAGAGTTACTCTTAACTCGTTTCCATAATTATGTCCTTTTCCTTTCTACTTTTATTATTGGCTGAATACCCGAGTTTCAAATTATTATTATTATTATTATTATGAAATGACCCAAAGGCAATGTGCCTATCGAGGGGTTCATTTGATTGAAAGAACAGTAGATGTAGATGTATGTACAAAGACAAGTAGGGATTGAAGAGGGGAGAAATGGGGAAAATCAACTGCAAGGTGGCGGAATTCCGTTGATTGCATAAGCATAGTCAGCTGTAAATTTCCTGAGGGCAGCTTTGAACTTATAGAGCGAGGCTTCCGATGTTAGACTGGTAAACAGTTCCATAGAATAGCAGTTCGGAACATGAAGACAGACTTAGACAGTGATTTAAATTTGGGAAGAATGATTTTGTTTGGTCGTCGCTCACTATTTGTAATCTTGAAATGGAAATCAGCAAGGTAATCCCGATGATGGAAAACATATCTGTGAAAAGTAGTGAGACTGATGATTTGACGACGATAGGCTAGTGACTCTAGGGAGCATTTGGAATTTAAGACAGATTTGGAGGAAGTGTAATCAAATGCAATTTTTTCTTTTTCAGTAGAGCTCTAGCAAACCTTGCCTGTAATTGATCAAGAGTGGTCATGGGTTTCTTATTAGATCCAAACGACCACACCGTGCAGCTTTTTACGATCACAGGTCTTACGAACCCTTTGTACAGTATGATCATTGCCGGAGGCGTAAGTTGCTGGGACATTATTGACAGTAGGTGCACTCGATATCTGAACTTCGAAGTTATTGAGGCGACATGTTTGCGGAAATCCAGGTTGTCGGTCAAGGTGATGCCAAGATGTTGCAGTTCAGAAACCACCGTTAATGGCTCATTGTACATTTGGTATTGGATTCCTTCAGTAGGTGTATCATTGATAGCTCTATGGCACAGCACGGATGTATTGCTTGCTGAGCATTCACCTCCATTGTTCCTGCCCCATGTTTGACATGCATCGAGATCAGACTGCATGTTCGCTCTACTGGCGAGGGTGTCTTCAGGTTTGTAAGCCAGTAGGAGGGTGACATCATCTGCAAATAGATATTGCGTGCAATGTTGCATAGCGTTTGGCAGGTCATTTATATAGAGTAGGAATAAGAGTGGTGAAAGGTGGGAACCTTGAGGCACTCCGCAGCTGATGCTTCGCTTCTTCGATTTAGTGCTATGTACCTTCACTTCAATTTGTCAATCCCCTAAAAAGCTCTTCAGCCATTTTACTGACGAATCTGTAGCAATCTTACCTAATTTCTTTAGGAGTATAGAGTGGTCGACCCGGTCGAATGCTTTCCTGAAATCTAGAGATATCAGGTCAAAATTAGTGCCATTATCAATATTTACAGCCATTGATTGGGTTAGCAAGATAAGTTGGTCCGTTCCAGACTTGTTGCGTACATATGCGAATTGACCTTTACAAATTACACCATGGGTCATCAAGTATCGAAGTAGACGTTCCGAGAGAATCTTTTCCATTAGTTTCGCTATGCATGGGAGAAGGGATATAGGTCTGTAATTGGTAGGCTCTTTGGCGCAACCTCTATTCTTGTACACCGGTATTACAGTGGATGATTACCAGGAGGACGGGAACACACCATCATCAAGGCTGTAGTTGAACAATACTGATAGTGATTGGGAAAGGATGTCTGCGAATTGCTTTAGTATACGGTTTGTCAGGTTGATGTCTGATGATGATTCATGTTGTTGCAGCCTCTTTGCTGCATCGAAGACTTCAACAGGGCGTATGTTTCCGAATCCAAATTTGTTTCCATCGACGTCGGCTTCATTGATTGTTATACTAGTTGCTACAGTATTCGGCGGCGTTCACTGAGTGATGCATTGGCGGGCAAAGAAGGTACACAGCGTTTCGGCCTTCGCTTGATCTGTTTTGTGAATTTCATTGCCGTTCTGCAGGTCTGGAATTGCCTTTTTATTTGTTTGTTCAATATTGCATATTGCTTTGGCACGTTTCCACCACGCATAGCCACCCTTTCTTTCCTTGCCAAGCATTGTGTATCCGAGCGTTGACAAGTATGTGTCCTTGGCGTCTTCTAATGACCGGTGGTACAGGTTGCGCGAGAGTTTGTATGCAGCTCGTAAAGAATCGTTGAGTGGCTCCTTTCGGTGGAGCACATAGAGGCGGTTAGTTCGCCGACGTTGCGTCTTAAGTTTTTTTGTGAACCATGGTTGGTTCGACTGGGTGTTTTTCCGGCGTGTGATGGTCGTTGCTGCCTGAATTGCCTGGTCCAGCAGTGCAGAGTAGGCCATGCATCTGAAACTGATGTGCACGTTGGTGCCCTGCATGCATTCGGTCAATGGTAGTGTGCTCATTTTCTGCCTGAGGAGGTGCATGTCAACCTTTCTGGAGGCTGCGGCTGCGGTGACAGTACTTCTAGAGTGGCGTTTCTCTGGTGGAGAATATGCGCAAAATAGAGGACAGTGGTCTGCAATGGGCATGGATGTGTAACATGAAGTGACAAGATGGGGCATATTAGTTAAAATCAGGTCTAGGGACGGATTAGAATCTTTAGGTGGCCTCGTTCCATGGTTCTTGGAGACCATAGTGACGCCATAGTCGTCAAAGGCGGACTGCATGTGTCTACCTGCAGTGTTCGTAGGGTCTGCGTTGTTCCACTCATTGTTCTTGGAGTTAAAGTCTCCCACGACAATTACTGGACGGTTGTCAACGAGGGGGTGAAGATGACTGAATGAGTTGCAGAATGCAAGACTATCATGTCTTGGAGGACGGTACACACAGGAAATGATTGTAGCTCCTGTTTCGACAGTTATCATCTCTGAATTGTTGCACTCTAGATCCCGGCGGCGCATAGCACAAAGGGCGGACGAAGAGAAGACTGCTACCCCACCACCACCCAAGTCGCTCCATGCAGTGCTGCACTGGGACCGGTCACGACGGAACAGGTCGTAACCCGGTATCTTAATGACCTCGTCTGGGATACACGAATTTAGCCATGTTTCCGTTATACACAAAATGTCTACTTTATGGTGGTCAAGGAGGTCTGTAATATCAGCCAATTTATGTTTCATACTACGACAGTTCAGGGTACATATCCGAATGCAAGAATTATTGTTATTGTTGCGGGGGGATGCGTTTACTGGTGTGGTATCAGGTGGAGGTTGTTCTCTTATACACGTTGAGTGGGGTTGGGCACGATAGGTGCGAGGCATGAAAACTGGTGCATGGGGATTGAGTGGGAACACGGTCGTGGCTGCTGTTGAGCGGGGTTGGGCACGATAGGTGCAAGGTATGAAGACTGGTGCATGGGGGTTGAGTGGGAACAAGGTCGTGGCTGTTGTTGAGCAGGGTTGGGCACGATAGATGCGAGGTAAGAAGACTGGTGCATGGGGATTGAGTGGGAACACGGTCGATTATTTGGTGGCTGTAGGCCTATTTGCCTCGCTGAAGTCCCATCGCCGAACCTGAATGGGCGCTGGCCAAAACCCATCTGCCTCGATGGCTGCACATTGGTCTTCACGGACTGTAAGCCTTGCAGCTTTTGTGCCTACATGCTTGCGAGAAGGAAAGGTGCGGCAAGCTGTTGGTGTGATGCCATTCTGGACACAGTGGGACGTTATGGAGTCTGCGTCGCAACTGTCATCAATATTGCCAACAAAGTATACTTTCCGCAGGGAGCCAAGAGAACCTCTCAGTTTGCGGCTGGTAACTGTACTCCATTGCTCGTCGTGTTGCTGGTGTTGGTGGTGTTGGTGGTGCTGTTGTTGCTGCTGCTGCTTCTGGCGCTGTTGTTGTTGTTGTGGTTGTTGTTGTTGTTGTTGTTTTTGTTGTTGTTGTTGTCGCTGTTGGGGTCGTTGGTGCTGGTTAGTTTGCTGGCGGTGGTCCTTTGGGAGAGGTGGCTGCGCAGTGACCGATGGCTTGGAGGAGGGCCGAAGTGCTCGGTTGCCACTGGAGCTATTGAGCACTGATGCCCATACGCGCTGCTGGGTCGTGGATCTGCAAGTGCTACAGCTTGTAGTGGTATCCATGTGGTTGGCTTGCTGCATTTGCAGCCCATGTGCACCCGGCTTGGATACGGTATCGCCCACCTTTTTGAATGGGGTCGGTGCAGTGTGTTGTACATGCTCTACTGACTTGAGGCGCCCTTGGTTGGCTTGCTGCATTTGCAGCCCACGTGCACCCGGCTTGGATACGGTATCGCCAGCCTTTTTGAGTGGGGTCGGTTCAGTGTACATGTGTTGCATATGCTCTACTGACTTGAGGCGCGCTTCCTGTTCCTTAACGCTGTGTTTACATAAGAAATTTCAACCCGGGTCGAGTTCAGCCCGGGTTGAAAGTCTGTACGATAGACAAAAGAGGTGAGCGTTTACATGAAGTCAGTTGACCCAGGTCAAATACTGATATGCCGCCAAAAGTCCACTTCTACAGTCCTGCATGGTCACGTGAATCCGTTCGCGCGAAATTTGCATCTGCAGTGCCGTTCAAACCTGGCGCGAGATACGCACAGAAGTACGTTTGTACGATTTTCTTGACCCGGGTTGATTTCAACCCTCCCCTTGGGGGGAGGGTTGAAATCAACCCGGGGCGAAATTTCAACCCGGGTCAAGCGCATTGCGTCATGTAAACGCGCCATTCATTTTATGCACATGGCGGGTTGAAAACTGACTGTCGAACTCAACCCGGGTTTAAACGCCTCATGTAAACACCGCCTTACACTTGTCCTCCAGCGCAGATATACGGGAATCTGATTGCACGGTACTAATAGGCGTATGCGTGTCACCACCACCAGACCACTACTCACATGTGATGTTTCCCCTAGTTTCTTGACACTAACCGTCGGGTGCGCGATACCCAGTGTCCTTTCAGCTACGTCTCCTCCATTGCGGATTTTTATTGAAACGTGGAAGGCCGCGGAAACGCGAAGAGACGGATAGTGGTGATGCCACGAAGAGGCGAGATGACGGGACATTGGAGGAGACAACACCCAATTGAGCTAAGAAGCGCACTTCGTAAATCAAGCAACATCTGTCAGCCCGTACCAATTGTCGTGAGTTGTACAGTGATAATGTGTTCTCAATATTGTCACGTGGTAGATGTGCGTTGCATTTGACTTTGTTAGAAGCTTTGTATATTCGTAAGTTAGATCCTGAACTTTGCGTACAGAAAGAAAATGTGTTGTCGCTACAATTGTTTGGTGTTACTCCTCGTCGAGGTGGTAACAATGTAACTTAATTTGCTCACTATGTTGTTGTCACTATTATTATTTTCCTTCGAGTGTTGTGTCGTGCTAAACTTGATAATTTTCCACCTTGTGACGAGTGTTGTAATCTAATTATCTTTACGCTATATAAGTTTTAGTCTTTCCAACTTGAACCATTCCCTGTATAATCCTTGATGAGAAGGGACCGAGAACGTTCGGATACTTATGACAAGTGCCTTATTATTATTATTATTATTATTATTATTATTGCGAGAAAATGAGAGCTGAAAAAACATTACATCAATCAACGATATCAGGTGACAACAGATGCGATAAATTCACTACTAGAAAGTAACCATGCACCACAAACGAGAACTACTGATCTAAATTCACAAACAATTTCAACGTAAACAAATTCTTTTTCTGCCTACACAAAATCGGCTTGGTAGTAAAAATGTAGATAGACTCCAATACACGCAGATACCTTTGACTACGTGAACGAGACCAAACAGAAAAGCAATCATCAGTATAACTAGAACGACAATCACTATTCTGAACAAGATGGTTTGCAACAGAAGATTCATACACCCTAACACCACTACTAGAACCAGTACATACTTTGGAATTACGTGACAGTGAAACCGACTGACATTCCTTGCCGCTACTGCCACTCCAGACGAAGCCGATGTAGATGTCCGTACCAAAGACACGTCCGTTACTGGCACTGCCTGCTGCGATGATGCTCCCTTTGACGTTTCAATGGCCGTTGGTGTTGATGAAGAAGAGGAGGGAGATGAGGAAGATGCTGACGACGACGAGGACGACAACGACGGAGACGATAAAGACTCCGCCAACCTCGCCCTAGAGCGAGTCACTGGTCCCGCAGACACACCATCCGGTGGTTTCTTCGGTGGCCGGCCACGCTTTTTTCCACCGGAGGTGGACACACCGGATGACGGTACCAAGGAAGTCAAAGACGACGACACCGCAGATACCAACGGTGATGACGGGACAGAAGGAAGAGACGGCAAAGACGAAGGCAATGACGAACAAGCCGATGCCGACGAAGAAGACAACGACACCCCAGTTGGTTCCGTCCCCAGCGAGGGTGCACCTCCAGTCTCAGCACCATTCTTTGGGGGACGACCTCGTCTAGGCCTTGACGACCGTGCCTCAACAGGCATAACGTGAAGAGCCACATGCTGGTGGATCCGTGCCTCCAGGTGCTGAAGGGTCCTACCCACATACCGGCTCTCGCATTGCCGGCACTCGAAGTTGTAAATAAGATGTGATAATTTCTACTGGTTCTAGTAGTGGTGTTAGGGTGTATGAATCTTCTGTTGCAAACCATTTTGTTCAGAATAGTGATTGTCGTTCTAGTTATACTGATGATTGCTTTTCTGTTTGGTCTCGTTCACGTAGTCAAAGGTATCTGCGTGTATTGGAGTCTATCTACATTTTTACTACCAAGCCGATTTTGTGTAGGCAGAAAAAAATTTGTTTACGTTGAAATTGTTTGTGAATTTAGATCAGTAGTTCTCGTTTGTGGTGCATGGTTACTTTCTAGTAGTGAATTTATCGCATCTGTTGTCACCTGATATCGTTGATTGATGTAATGTTTTTTCAGCTCTCATTTTCTCGCGCTAGTTAGGGTCTAAATTACTACTTGCATTATTATTATTATTATTATTATTATTATTACGAAGTAGTCAAGTGTCAAGTAAAGTCGGCGGAATAGCGCGAGCTCCGGTGTGGGGAGCAAACCCTTTATTATTATTATTATTATTATTATTATTATTATTATTATAGACAACACCTCATGGCATGAGAAGAAAATCAGCCAGTACGGGAGATGTGGGTGTTAACCAACCATGGTGAATAAATGAAGAACAGTAATGGTCATGTGAAGGCCATCATTTACATATTGATATACATGTAGGTCATTCCATTGATTGGTGACAGAAAAAACAAAAGAAATTATAGCAATAAAAACTGCTTTATGGGAATTTTATAAAAAGGTAATTGTGTTCTAGTCCATGGACCCCGTCTGAAAAGTAAGAAATTAAAGAAATGTGATAGCCGAAAATTAAAATTTCACACAAAACCTCACAATAATGACACACAGAATTAAAAGCTACATGTAGAAAACCTTTTCCCCTCGTGATCCTCTTTCCTATGCATGCATGTTGCGAATTGTTGGTGCAGTACAAGTTTAGTGTTGAAAGCAGCATTTCAAGTGTTGTCATTATCGTGAGGTTTTGTGTGAAATTTTAATTTTCGGCTTTCACATTTCGTTAATTTCTTACTTTTTAAACGGGGTCCATGGACTAGAACGCAATAACTTTTTTAGAAAACTGCCATAAAGCAGTTTATATTTCTATAATACAATTAGCTTTGCAATTATACGTTGAGCTAACATCAGCTCTATTTTCAACTAACAGCAGTTCTACTTTGAGCAAACAGCAGTTCTTCTTTGACCTGACAGCAGCTCTACTTTGAGCTACCAGCAGGTCTACATTGGGCTAACAGCAGCTCTACTTTGAGCTAACAGCAGCTCTACTCTGATCTGATCTACTCTGATCTACTCTGAGCTAACAGCAGCTCGACTTTCAGTTTGATAACAGTTGTTTCGAAACCAGGACTCCTCAATCAAAAGATGCCAATTTCATGATTTATTTGTGTGAGGGACGGGGCTTATTACGCATACAAACAACAAACGCAAGCGCGTACACACGCACCACCACACATATACGCGTGCATTAATCGGACGTATAGTGTTTGAATTAGTGTGAACTCCAAGCTACCACAGGACTGGTGCAATACAAGTATTACCCATTACCAATATCACGTGACAAGGTACTTTATTGAAATCAACAATTGCACGATAGGTATAAGAGAGGAAGGACAATAAAGAATAGCTTGAAGTAGTTTTTTATTATTGTATTCACGTACTGACAATGGTACAGGGACTAGCACAAACATTACAGCAATCCAGCAGTGGCCACATCGAGACGCCGCACTGGAGGTGAGGTATTCATGGCTCTGCCGGCCAGAAATCTCGGCACCACGGCCAAACCTACGCACCAAAAACAAAAAAATACAACTCTACGCGTCCTCAAAATGAAAAGAAAAAAAATTAACACTGAGTGTCTGGGAGAAACGTTCATACTCTTTTGAATGGGTGCACGGGCGCCACTATGATACTAAAGATAGAGCGCAAACCATTGTGAGAGAAACACTTAGCAACGTAGACTACCAGCCAGATATATATATATATACAAAATTAGTATTGTGGCAAAGACAGATCATAAGAAAACTATGCTGCACATGGCAACGCAAGCCATGGGTCAGAACTAACCCAACAAACCCGATTCGAAGCCAGCAAAGAAATGTTGTTGCAGAGTGAGGAATTTGATCAGTACCAACAAAAACAAAAGTGTGTGTGTGGGTGTATGTGCGCGTGTGTATGTGTCTGTTTGTTCGGGCTTGTGCTTGCAACGTATGTTTTTTGGGTCGGAAAGGTGAATTGGAAAAAAATGACTCGCCCAGCGCTTGACATTGCAGGTTAAAACATACATGGGTAATCTGTTTGACGGAAAACGTCTCCTCCTGCAATAGGTAGTACGTTTATGAAAGCATATCGAAAACAAATCTACCTACCGTCATATGTATTTCAGTATCATTGACTATACGCGCCTGAAGTCGAAACCCTATAGATGCCGTTTTCGCAATTCCGCCCGTAGGCGACATAAACTTCACTTCAGTCATCACTTGGTTATAACTGGGTACAAGGTGTTGGTTGAGTTTTTTCTCGATCTCGGGGGTGGAGTGAGTAGGAATGTATCCTGCGAATTCCTCTCGGAATGCCTGCTTCACGCTTGCGAGTGAAGCGTACATAGTATACGGCTGGCCGTTTACGTACTTCCACGCTTCGGTATCAGGAGAAAATCGAGGAACTCCCCACCAGACAACCGGACTCTCAATAGAACGGATTGCAGAATTGCCTTCCAGAAATTCTACCGTTTCAGTCCTTAG